ACGCATAAGAATTAACTATGAACCATTCTGAAGCTATGCGTTTGATTTTTATTAAAATAAGCAATGCATATTTATGTTTGGATCATAATCTATACATATCCCGAACAAACAATAATGATACAATGAAAAACGAAAAAATTACTAACAATTTTTATGTCCGTTTTATAACCTGAACAGTCCTAACCAAACTACTACTATTTGTACTATTTGTAATTATTTTTTGGTTTGTGCAATTTATAGCCCATTAACCTTAATATTTATTCCTTTAAACCTTGTGATTTGTTCCGTATCGTATTTCAAAATAATATTTATTGTGCAAATTCCCCAGTCATTGTTAGTAAATCCGTTCACACTGAAACGATTACATTACAATTATCGAAGCAATTAGCGAAAATCAGCGATTTGTATATGTTTTGTCAAGTGCTTCTCACAACTTTTTTTTTCTCCTATCTGTACTCACAAAAAAAGTGCTTATATAAGTGGATCCACTGCTGTGAAAACAGGTTCCGAAAGCAAACACATAAATACGTCAGCAGAATGAAACGGCAATACAGTTGGGAGGATCGCTGAATTCTACGCTCCAAGAGTGATTGCGAAAATCAATAGGTTTTCAATTGCCTGCCTCCTTATATTGTAGTTGAGGTATCCAAAATGACGTCGCCATATCGTATTGACCAAATTCTCTCATGCTAATTTACATAGTATTAGCATTGTGAACCTTGACGGCAAGGTAAGAGATATGCCTGAAGAAGATAATTCCTAAAATCTTTTGCTGTATCCACCATGAAATTAACTACACGAGTGTATCGAGAAGCATCGATAGTTGAATGATCGTATGAATAATAAAACACAAAGTTTGAATAAACGAGTTTCGTGAGTGGAAGAACAGCGATCATTTGAGGAATGCTATCCAAGTATTTACTACTGTTTAGACTTAATATTAGTCTATAAGATGAGAATCTGTACTTTACCGGATTAAAGCTCTATCCGTATTTTGTTAATAATGGGCATGATCGTGTAATAGCAAACAGTAATAGATCGATAGCAGTACATACTCATTATTATTCACAACAGTAAGTCTTTCCCACCTGGAAGATGTTCACTCCTCAATGCGGCTATTTATGTGGAAGCTGATAGTGTAGATATGTAGCCTTGAATCAATCGACTATTATTGTTTTTGTACGTCTATATCGACAATAAAGTGATTGTCATTGCAAAGTTTTACATTTTGACGATGCTTTAAAGCACGTTTTGTACACGTGATTAGGAACACGGAATTGAATTTCTGCTTAGCTTCTGTCATCCTTGCTTCTATAATCAATTGTGGAAATTTTAATTGAACCTTATTCTCATCCCATAAAGTAGCGCTTGGCAGTCGTCATATGGAGCAGTTTCAGGCAAAAGCGAAAAAAGAATGTTTGAATCAACTTTCTGCTATTGGCATGAAACTTTGCGTAATTATTTGTTATGGGCAATGATTCACATATTTGCTAAAATTCGGCCGTTTTGGAACTTGTCAAATTTTGGTGTGTATGGAAGAAATCGCTTCAAACTAGCAGGTTCACCTTAAAACTATCTTGCTTATCTTGTTTGATATCATGTCAATATACCCAGCTTTGAACCATAGTATCCAGGCTCCATGTTCAATGGAATACCAGCATAGTTGATTTCCACAACAGATGTCACTAGATAAAAAATTTACAACATTTTATTTTGATTGAAAAAAAAACTATTACTACAGAACTTGTCTACCAAACATTGTCCACATGCGTCCGCATTCAAAATCGATAGCCAATGGCTTATATAATCGACATAAGTGTGTGGAGTGTAAAACATTTGCGCATGGAATGTGGTAATTGGGAATCGCATTTGATTGTCTACAGGTCATTAGCCAAATCTTAAGTACGCTTTATCGGTACCCGTAGTATAATTGTGGGTTCAAATCCTACACCTAACCAGGCGATGTTATATTTGCTTACAATCAGAGGCGCGTCTACGTTCAAAGATGTGGGTGGGATAAGGTACTATGGTCCCATAGAACGCTTTTGAATATTTTTAGAATCGGTCAATTGGTTCCGGAGATATGGCTGGAACTTGTTCCGGTTTGCATGAGCCGTGAGACTAAATCCGACCAGAAACGAATAAGACCCACTCCTCGCGCCTCTGCTTACAATTATGAGGAATTCATCATCGCAGGATGTTAGTTGAGACCTGCGGTTGCATTAAGGGGATAGTACACGTTGAACGTCCAAAAAGTAAGGCATTTTCGTTAATTTTTTTAAGCAATAAAACACTCAGGGAGGGCAAATGTGTTATAACCCATTTATTAGTCATCCTTCGAACTACAATTTGTATTTATTTGAACTCGATTGGCGTCTCCCCGTGGCCGGTGCACCAGGTCGCGCGGGCGTCCTCGCGCGGAAGTCGGAAAACGGCGTGGGAAAATACTCCTTTCCATGTGATCCTGGAACATAAATCGAACAAAAATCCTGATAAGTAATGAAATTTGGGTTAGAAATACGTATTCCGATTTTTTTTTAATTATTTTTTTCAAAAGTTGTGGCCTTAGCAAAAAAAAAATCCATTTTTTTACCCTAAAAATGCTTACAAAATCGAAAATGTGGATACGTATTTCTAAGCAGAATTTAATTCTGAACAAGAAAACCTAGGCGATATCCAAATTTGATGATAACTGTTTAGAGTTATTTCCCACGCCAGTTTGAAAAACCCCGTTTCAAGATAAACGCGTTTAAAGATAAAATTGGTCGCTCAGCGCGCCGGTACATGTTTTAGGAAATCGCTTCCTAAAGCGGTAAGCAATATTCTGGCGGACTTGGAGTCTTTTCTAAATTAAAGTATACATCCCAAGAAACATTTTAAGCCAAAAAAAATGCATTTTTTTTTAAATCAAAGTGTACTCCCCCCTTAAGGAAATCGAGAAAGAAAAATGTGTAGTGTATTAGTGAGTGAAATCAATCATGTCTAAAACAATAGAAAAAAGGTTGCCGACTGGACTCGAACCACAAACTTTTTCTGCTGAGAGAATCGTGGCAAGTGTGTGCGTCGTTCTTCAATTTAATAAAAATAAAATGCTTGCTTGATAGGATGATATGAAATGCAACTAACATTCAATGTAATACATTTTTGGTTTGCGTGCACTGGTGGCCGTAGATTGTTTTCGCAATTTTTCGGACACACACGTGCCCTACCGATCATGAGTGCTCTGCTTCCCAGTATCTTCTATTTTTTCCAAACAATTATTTTTCGAATAACTTTTTGTGCTTAGGAAAGTAGCGTCATGATGTCAGTAGTTGTGAGATCACATCTTTCCGTACTCTTCCGGCTTTTCTCCGCCTGTAACATCCGCTGTCCTCCGCCAGGGTGATCTTATCATTCCAGCGATAACGCATACTGCTTCCGATGAGATGGTTCTGTACGCACTCACGACTCGCATGGCCATGAACCAGAAAGTTCTGTTCAGTTGCCTTTGGTTTTGCTTGGTGTTGCAACCCAGGCTAGACCTCCATACCTCAGTAACAACGACACACTAGCCAGAAGAAGCCTCTTACTACTGCTGGGACCTAAGTTGTTCGACGAGGCTGCACTGCTTTACCGTACTGAGCAGTAGTACTTCCGTTTTGTGGTGGGCTATCTGCAGCTTCGCTTCTTGCATCCAGTTACCAATCATGTCGATCGCCTCGGTCGCCAAAATTACCACCTCTTCCAGCGTCTCGCCAGTTACTGTCAAAGCCAACGATCTCAACTCCTTTGGGCAGCTTCAGTGTTAGCACGCCGTTGTACATCCCGTTCCAAAGTGTTGAACCAAGGATGGAGCCTTGTGGAACTCCCGCTGTGATTTCTGTCTGGACTCCCGCTAGATCTCTGTCCCATGTTCCATGTTTCGTAGACCAGAACCCGGTTTTGGAAGTAACTTCTTAGGATCCTGCACAGGTAGTCAGAGACCCTCATTCAATGCAGCCCTTGGTGATGGCCTCCCAGCTGGTTCTGTTGAACGCATTCTTGACGTCGATCGTTATCAAGGCGCAATATCGATCACCTCTCCGCTTCTGTTTGGACACCTTCTCGGCTCTCTCGACCACCGTCATGCACCGTTGATCTCCCTTTTCGGAATCCAAACTGTCTCTCCGACAATCCATGCTCACTCTCCGTGCATTTCGTCGTCAGTCTGTTTAGGATGATCCATTCCAAGAGTTTTACAAGTGTATCCAGCAGGCATATAGGTCTAAAGAATGTTGGATACCCCGGTGGTTTTCCTGGTTTCGGCAGCAACACTAGTTTCTGGATCTTCCACTTGTCAGGGAAGTGACCCTCGTCCGCCATCCTGAACAAGTCCTTCAATCCTTTCGCCACTGCTACGAGTTCTTCGTTGGTAACTTCGACATTATCTCCCTCTCCATTTCAGTACGATGTAGGGAGCCAGGTCGTTGGGTTGTGCTTCGGGAAAATTCCTTGCACGATGACTTACTGCTCTGATCCTCGCCATCACGACACGGTATGCGTCGCCCCAGGGGTTGGCATCAACGTCTCGACTCAGCTCCTTAAAACAGTTTGACTTGCTCTGCTTTATATCTCATTTAAGTGCGGCCCTGGCCGCTCGTAACACTTCTCTACGTTCCTCTCTGTCTGCTTCTGTTTTTGCTCTCTGAACACGTTTTCTGGCTCTGAGATAACTAGCACGGAGGGTGCTTTTTTTAAACTTTATTGGCGAGATTTTAAGAGGGTGCTAAGTGCCTCGTTTCACCAGTAAGCTGGACGCCGTCTTTTATTTGGCTCCAGTTTGCTCGGCATGATAGCAGGGGAAACATGTCAGAAGGGTCTAACTCGAAACGTAAGCAATGACTTGGATCGTCGGTTTCTTACGAATGACAACACATCCACTCAAACTAACTAAATCATCTGACAGAGAAATGTTCGTTCTATGTGCTGGTGTAGTCAGATTCCGTGAGTGTGCGGTCATTCAAGAGAAATCGACGTTCAAAGTCATTGTTTACATTTCGAGTTATACCCTTCTGACATGTTTCACATGATAGTTTTACATGCTCTCACTAACGTTTCTGTCAGTTCGTCTTCGTCTTCCCCTTTTGGTCGCAGGTTTGCGTCCTCCGTACTGCCACAGTATTCCGTTGGCCGATGCCATATCGGATCGCTTGATGGTCGCTATGGGTATACCCTTCACACACTCTCCAATTCATGTTTGCCACCAGCGACAAACTGCAGAAAGTGACATCGATAATGTATTCACAAACATCTCTGCGAAAGTGCTTCTGGTGCCTTCGTTGGACAACCTAACTTCCAACTTTGCCAGAGCTTCCAGCAGGATTGAAGTCTTCTCCGATGACTACCGGTCTTCGCCCGATCAGCTCTTCGGTAAGTCCATCCAGCATCTCGTGGAACTGCTCCATCGTCCATCTAGGGGTGCGTAGCAACTGCATATGGAGATTACAATGATGCAACGTCGCACTTTGTTTCTGTTATCGATTGCCACAACAGTTGCTGTGCGTGTGTGTGTGTTTGCACGTGTTGTGTTTGTTTGTTTATAAAGTAAAGAATAGGATGCAACAACCACCATATGAAAGTTTTAATGGTCCAATAGATTTTTTTTAAATATGTTTTGGAATCTGTCGAAGATATGAACGAACCAAGATCCGAAAAAATAGAGATTTCAACAACTAAGTCGTGTTTCTCGGCAACCACTGAACCGAATTGCACACAAAATCCACCAAATGAAATTTTTCATAGTCCCGTAGAATATTTTTGGAATCGGTCTACTGGTTCTAGATCTATGGCCGGAACATGTTCTGGTTTGTATAGGCCATGTAACTAAATCCGACCTGAGACGAATAAAACTCATAATTTTACTCAGTAAATGACATGAGAACTCAAAAACATAATCATTTGATGTGCCAAGGAGCAAACTGTCAACATCCAACCATGTTCCGGTACCCCGGGAGAAGTGGCCAGTTTCGGACTAATTAGGCTCAAAATCCATTATGTGATTGAGGTAACGTGTGTTCTATAAAAAATGAGAATTTTTTCAGTCATATAGCTAGTAAAAAAAATTTTTTTTTCAACGAATTCAGTATTTTTTATAAAAAAAAAAAACATAATGTTTATTCTTCTAAAAACGTCAATGAACATTGGAGAAGGGGCCCTGGTCATCCGTACGACGCAACTTAGTCGCGATGCTCTCACAAGAGCGCTGGACGGCACTGAAATCATTCTCATTTTTTATTGAACACCCGTTATTACATGATAATTCGAAAACCAGTTCAATGATAGTTATTTGGAGTGCCCAAGACCACCAATCGGTCATGCTTCAGGAACCCTGGGGAGGTGGCCAGCTTCTGACTAGGGTCAAATTCCATCATGCGATACCTCAAATCACATGAGAATTCATCTATCACCTCACATCATATGAGCACTTTTGCCGGAATTTTATATTGGTAAGAAGGGTCAGATCTTACCATAGGTGGATTAATACGGGTTTTTTTACAAGCACATTAGTGAACACATTTTGTATACTTGGTTTCATTTATGCTTATTTTTTTAATAAACAATACGCCACAAAAGTGTAATAACCATGCGCAACGATAGACGATAGATGATCTATGATTTCAATTCTTGTAAATTGCCAATTCATTTGTGACAATTTATTACAATTATCGATTAAAAATGTTTAATTTTCCCATATACTATAGTTACGTATCAACAAATGTTTAGACACACAATATGCAAAGCCATTTCTATTCAAGGTGGGCCAAGCTCCGATATTCATTCAGGTATACAATTTTGAATTTGAATAAACTTGTATTACTTAATAGACAACAATAAGCAAACACAAAAGTGTATCCGTTTGGTTCGTTTGCCGCGTGTCTCAAAGAGAGATAATTATTCACTATAAGATTGCATAGCACGGTTGGTAAGCACGGGAAAACCTGCTTGAAAACAATTGTCTTAATATTCACGCAAACCAAACTACAAATACATCAAATGTAAGAATGAGTTGATGATCAACTTTACGGGAAGCAAACCACCAATAACAAAAAAATTTCTGGCTTTTTATATTTGTAAAAATAGTGGTAGAGTTTTCTGGGCGGTAAGTTTTCCGTTAATTTATAAAATTAGCTTTCATTAATTCTACATAAAGTTCAATAGAAAGTCTTCGGCCGACCACAGAATCTTCATATTCATATGTGATCTATAACAGATTGTTTAAATTTTGTATGCCAAACGATTATTTAACATTCATCGTTTGAGTGCACCGACAGCCCAAAGTAATCAATCGAGGATCAGTTTTTAGATACTGGCAACTTCAACGTACCAATAGACAGGCGGTCAATATGACCTGTTGTCGTTGCCCAGTTGTCCTTCCATCGGGTTAGTGTGTCATATCGATTTTGTTGATTATTGCGGAGAGTACCGTGTGGATACTATCTATTAAATTTTAACACTTAGTCTACCGGGAACTACTCTGGCCGATTGGTGGGCCGCTATGCAAAGAAACTTAGGATTAAACATTAGCTTAGAAACGACGCAAAACACAAGTTCTCGAGCAAATAGTCAAAATGTCGTAACTGCTTTTGTGGGCAATTACTTCCAACGTTCGATAGCCCTACTTGATGGTGGCGTTAGTTTGCGAGGGCGTGCCAGCAGTTTCTTCGAATTGATGTTTGAAGTCATTATTTACAACAGCAGTTACGACGTTTTGACTATTTGCTCAAGAATTATTCTAATGATTGCTGGTCTTCGTCACCGGTTGCAATGGCAAGTAGTGAAACTAATTATGCAAATTTCATTTGTGCTTTACACCAGTAAGAAAAATATTCGTTGAACCACGTTAGTTACTAGACGACCCAAAAGGTTTACGATGGTTTATTGCTGGCACGATACATTGTGGTCTTGTTGCACGTGTTTTATTGCAGCAACACATTGAAAGCTTGGTTCTATCTGCGATTAATTGATTGCTCTATGTGTTTGCTCAGCAAACCAGTCAGCTGGAAACACGTTTCAATCAAGCTTGTTTGAAAATTTTGTGCAATGGTTGGTTGAAAGCTACCTGGTCATTTTTAAGAGATGGTTCAACCGTACAATGAGGTTGTTGCAAAATATCAGTTTATGGGAAAAAGCAATTGGAACACTGTTTTGTTAGTTCCCATGTGAATGTTTCATGAAAAAATTTGATTTCTCTTCTCTACTCCCAGTTCCTCAAATGGAGCACGACTTTGGATATGACCTGGAAGAGGCCATCAAGAGGGAAGGACTATCCCGAGCCGATCTGAAAGCTTTACGAACACCCCCCATCGATGGAGCACCACTCGAAATACCCGATAGGATGTTGGCTTGTTTCCTAAGTGCATGCAACAAGGATGTTGCTGAAACACGAGAGGTCATCAAAATTTACTACAGCGACCGTCGGGAAGCTCCAGAGCTGTTCGACAATCGAGATCCTTTGAGTCCAAAAATCCAACAATGCTTTCAAAATCAGTAAGTAGAATTGATAACTAAATAAGTTGGCAAATATCCAACCACATTCCAAATTTGCAGGGATTATTTTTTCTTGCCAGAAACTCCTTCCGGTTATACCGTTATCTATCATCGATTGAACAACACCAAAGCATCCAATTACAACTTTGACGAAGCTGTTAAAACGTACTTTATGCTGCTGGAAACTTGTCTGTATCATCGAGGCCCCCGTCCGGGTCTGGTTTGTCTGTTCGATATGGAAAACGTTGGCCTGTCGCATCTTTTGCGGGTCAAAATAGGCACCATTCGAAAATTCTTCCACTACTTGCAAGAAGGCTTGCCGGCGAAACTGAAAGCCATCCACGTGTTGAATGCCGTTTCCTTCTTCGATAAAGTTCTCTATCTTATCAAACCGTTCATGAGAGCTGAAATTCTAAATATGGTAAGCGTGACATAGCATATCATGTATATCAGAGGAAGCTAATTGTGACCTAATTTACGTGTATGTTTTCAGTTGTTTCTATACACTTCGAACGGTAGTTTGCAGAAACTGTATGACGAGTGGATTCCCCGCAGCTGCCTACCTTCGGATTATGGGGGTGAGCTGAAATCGGTGGCTGAATTGCACCAGGAGCACCTTAAAACATTCGAGCTACTGCGACCGTACTTCCTTGCCGAAGAACGCCATCGAAAAGGAGAATCCAAGTTGATAGAGGAGGCCAGCGAAAAAATAAAATCATTGGACATAGATTAAAACTCATTCTTCCCATAATATCGTATACACCTACGGTTTAGCCAAAATAGCTTTTAAGGGAACTGATAATCACTACAATTTGAACTCGATATGAACAATTGCAGTACAACGAGAGCTCTGAGCCATAGGGAAACTGATTATGATATTATGCAATTGTTCAAGTGAATCTTTAATCTTTGGTAAGCTTTTAAAGTTGAATTATAAGCTGGGCTTAGGGATAAACTTTGTTAAGCATTTTAGCAGCTAACCACTATTGGCTTTATATGTTACGATAAGAATATATTGGTACAAATTTATTTAAAACTTGTTTACTTCACATGAGCTATAGGTATTCTCGATGATTGTATCACTGGCGTGCACAGGGTGGGGAAAGGTGGGGCAATTGCCCCTCATTTTATAAATAAAATTTTTATTTCCGCATTTACAAAATTATGATATAAAATAACTTGATTTCTTGATAACTTGATTTGAAGGTAAAATAACTTCATTTCATAAAATAAGGGCACTGAAAATGAAAACCTTTTATTGCGTCAATTCCTTTGAGATGGTTCCTGAAAAGTGCACCACAAAGATGCATGAAGGGACAAACTTCAATGAAATTTTTTGGTCAAAAAATTGCACCACAGTGGTGCATACAAAAAATTCCTGGTGTAATTTTTTTTTTCAAGGTGGTTCATGGAGGATTAAAAGAAGAGGGTAAATTTAAGGTTAAAAAATTCACCTTCGTGGTGATAAATCGAAGAAAAAGCTTTCGATTGAATATTTATGGTGTAAAAATATCATCAAGGTGGTGCAGGGAGGGACTAATCAAAATGAAAATTGGAAAAAAAATGAATCACGTTAAAAAGTTGGGGGTGCACATTTAACTGAACATTTCTGGTGGAAAATTCGCAACACTGTAGTATATGTAGAAACAAGGTTTATTCATTTTTCTGGTGCATAATTTGCATCGTTCTGATGAATGGTTTTGAGATTGAAAATTTATGGTGGACAATTTGTAGCATTCTGGTGAAGAGACAAAGCCTAAAAATTGCACCATAATGGTGCATGGTGAAACAAACTTCACTGACAATTTTTGGTGCACCGTTCTGGTGATTGGAGGAGCATGCATTATTGAAAATTTCTGGTGCAAAATTTGCATCACTCTGCTAAATGAAATGAACGGAAAATTTCTGGTGGAAAACTTGCACTGATCTTTAAAATCAAGCTATATAGAAAATGTCTGGTGGAAAATCTGCACCGTTCTGGTGAACGGTTGGGCAAGCTTTCTGGAAAATTTTTGGTCTTAAATTTGCATCCCTCTGCTGAATAGAGAAAAAAAACTTTAATAATAATTTCTGGTGTAAAATTTGCACTAGAAAATTTATGATGAAAAATCTAAAAATCTAAAAAATGGAAAAAGGAAATCTGCACCAATCAGAAGATTGGAGAAGCAATTTTCATTATACATTAACGGTGGTAAATTTGCATCGTTCTGATCAATTGAAATTTTCTGGTGGAAAGTTTGTTTTGAAAATTTCTGGTGTAAGATTTCCAACAATCTGCTTCATGGAGAGGCCTGATGTAAAAAATGTACAGTTCTGGTGAATGGATGGGCAAGCTTTATTGAACATTTATGCTAGAAAAACTACAACGATTGATTTGGTGAATGGGTGGACCACTTAAACTTTATTTCTGAGAAGAGCCTCAAGGGTATTGAATTCTGAGGACAGTTCGAAAAGAAAAAAATTCTGGGGATGATTCCATGAAAATTCTGCGAATAATTTCTAGTGAATTCTGCAGATAGTTCCAAGATAATTTCGAAAACAATATCGAGAGAATCAAATTTTGAATGAAATTCCAAAGGGATGTTGAGAAAAATTTCAAGGGAGTTTCGAGGATAATTTCAAGCTCATTCTGGGTGTTCTGAGAAAAAAAAAGTTCTAAAATATTCCGAGAAGCACCTCAAGGATATTAAATTCTTATGACAGTTCTAAAATATTTATGGGGAGAATTCAAAGAAAATTTTGCACATAATTTTTACTGCATTTTGCAGATAGTTTCAAGACAATTTCGAAAAGAATACCGAGAAAATCCAATTTTGAGTGTAATTTCTAAGGGATTTTATGCAAAATTTCAAGCGAATTCCGAGGATAATTTCTAGCTCATTCAGTTCCAATGTCTTCTGAGAAAAAATCACGAAAAGTTCTAAATATAATTCCAGTGGACTTCTGAGAAGAATTTCAAAAGAGCTCTTTTGAGGGGGCTTAAAAAATTCCGAGAAGAACCTCAAGGATATTGAATTCTGAGGACAGTTCCAAAGGATTTCTGGAGAGTATTCCAAGTATTCCAAGTATTTCAGTTCTGCGTGTAATTTCTAGTGAATCCTGCAGATAGTTCCTAGATAATTCCGAAAAGAATACCGAGGAAATTAAATTTTGAGTGAAATTCCAAAGGGATTTTGAGGAAAATTTCAAGAGAGTACCGTTAATTTCTACCTCATTCCAGAAACATTTTTTTGAGGAAATTCTTCTGAAACTCTAAAGGAATTTCAGTTCCAAGGTGTTCTGAGTAAAAGTCAAGAAGAGTTCTAATTCCAGAGGACTTCTGAGAAGAATTTCAAAAGAGCTCATAGAGTTCTAAAAATTTCGAAAAGAACCTGAATGAATTCTGAGGATGGACTTTTTCGCAACTGTACAAAGTTTAAAAGTGGGTATTAGTTTGCCATTGAACCTTGGTCTATAGTTGTCTTACTAAAAATTCGTCTAAGAATCTTCTCTGAAAATTTCAAGTCATTTGTTACCGTGGTTAAAAAGTTACAGCTTTTTATGTGCGTTGCAATAAATTCGGGTTTGTATTTTATATCATCTTTAAAACATGTTGAATGTTCGGCATCATTTTCTGTCACTCCGACTGACGGTACTTTGGGACGGTTCATCATCGTCGATGCGATTAAATTGCCAATTTTTGCAGTTTGCATTGAAGAAGATGAACCACCACCGGAGCAAAAAATAAATAAAATTAGCTAAATTAAACAGTAGGGAAACAGTGGTGAGTGGACAACACCCCCTCCCACGCACTTTGGAGTACTCCCCATCCCCAGATTAAATGCACCATAGAAAAAAAATTGCCCCTCCTTAACACGATTCCTGTGCACGCTAGTGATTGTATGTATGGTTGATCATCTAGGTGTATCCAGATTTCCTGAAAGTTTTGAATGTATAACACCAAATGATTTGGATGATTCTGAATCCATACCTACAATATCTTCTGGATACCTGCTCCTTTGTGTCTCCTGATCCTGAATTGTTTCGCTGCCAACTATTTCAGATGACAAAAGAAAGAAGTAACTTGAGGTGCGAGATCTCAATCACACAATCTCTCAGAATCATATGATTGAAACGTTAGGGCCTTGCATTTCAATAGTTGCATATTTCTGTGCTGTGGGAACAAATTTGACAGAAGCGTAAAAACTGTACATACGACCAAGCGGCGCCGGTGGTGTAGTGGTAAGCGTGATTACCTCTCACCCCAGCAGGCCTGGGTTCAATCCTAGTCGGCGCTGGCGGGATGTTCTGAGGCATAACATCTCGGATCACGCCTTAACTAGAACGCTATCAATACCTTACTCAGTCGGTAGCAGCACTCCTGAGATGTTAGTTAATGGGAATTTTGAAAGAATTCTCTATCTCATTGAAAATAGCAGCAATTTTTTGTTCACCAAAACAAAACACCTCGTTTCTCTAATTGACAAAAACGTTACATACGACCCAATTAAAAAGGACTCCAGATTTCTTCTTCATGAAAATCGTTGAAAGCATATTGGTGAATCAAAGCAAACCCAAAACTGGTCATGCGACGCCTAGTTCTTAGATCCGCAATTACAAAAATTATGATGTACTAAAAAAAATCCTGCAATTTTACAGATATCAAAACGTAATTACCATTTTCACCCACTCGCCATCTGTGAGTCAATCGTCACTTTGATTCTTCAATTGCTTTGCAACAGTTTACTCATCAAAGCATGTTCCTCATACATGCTTTTCGCCATATGCACATCTTCCCGTTCTCACCCGATTTTCGTTTAATCGTGATTTCCGACGATTTTTTGTTACCTCTTTATTTGTTCCAAGGTATCATCCACACCATTCGTGGATTAGTTATATTAGTTATATTAGTTATATCAAATATTCGCAAGCAAGCTCTGTTCATGCGTGATAAGTTATTAGTTTGTCGGGAGTGGCGAGAAGGATTTTTTTTTTAATCTTTGTTGTGCCATAGGCGCTGTTTACTGTGTTGAACACGAATTATCGTTGCCTAAAAATTAATTGCATTTTAATTGGATGTGATAGCAGCATTACTACACAGGTAAAAACTTTTAACGCGATATGCACACATGAATGTAGCCTAAAAACGTGTTGTCAACACCATCAACATCGGCGCGCTTCAGTGAGTACTAGTCTTGCCAGGGATGTGTTTATATCATGTAATATAGGCTGTCTTGCAATGAGCACTCATACATCTAGTTTTCACTGGAAATCATATGTATGGGTGCTCATTAGACTGATGCAAAATTTGAAATTTTCGCTCCACAGTGTTCAAACGGTTCCAATTTGGTTCCTGATTAGCCTTCCAAAATTTGAGGTCATTTAGTAAGAAACTGACTTGGCACAAACCATTTGAAGTTTATATGAAAATTACTATGGGAAAACCAAATTTTGTATTTATATCTATCTAACAAATAACCCTATTACTCTGCTGTAAAAAATGATATTTGTACTTGTAGTAAATTTTCACAGCTACAATTTTGTTCAAAACCATTTTTCAATCAAATGTAAGGATCAAAAGTTATTAATGATTCAAGTCACTATTGTCTTATGATTATGCTCAATCAACTGCTCAACAGGCAACATTGGTGTTTTTGGCGGGTAGAATAGAGCTAAAACATCATGGCTACTATGTCACACTCAGTGCTGCAAAATCTCGACAGTACACGGTGATATTGACAATTCTGCTTTGGTCACTCATTTGAGCTAAAAGTCATAGTCAAGGCAAACCATGTCAATTGTCAATGACAATGGTGTCAGTGACGAACATGTGCAGATATGTTTATTAGCTAAATTTCCTACAAAATTAAATAACTTGAGCAAAACAATCACATGGATCCATTTTAGTGAACAAGTATCTACGTTCTGAGCTACTTGGATAACAATAATGTGACACAGAATGTACTAAATTACACTTTTTGTTTCCTGGTGAATCTTTGTCATTGACGAAAAAATGAATGAGATTTTGACG